TATAGCTACTAATCTCCAAAACCGTATTGCCAGTATGCTTTGTTGAAGTGCCATCCCCTTGCAAAACAGACATTCTGTGTGTTTTGTATGCATTTATGGTTGAAGAATAAATTTTCAGAGACTGTAAATGAAAAGATATCTCTGAACATAGTGATCAAATAATATCTGACACTGCTTGTTTAAGGAAATATACATATATCTGACTGCCAGAGTATTTATGACTCCAATAAGTTTAGTTATTTTGCCTCATGGGGAAATTCCTGGTCCTCCAAATAGCAAACTAGTTTGGGGTTGTGCTGTTTTTTCAGGAAGGAGCAAATGGTATTATTGGTTAAACAGCTGCGCAATGTGAAAATACAATAATGTAGTTTAAAAATTGAACAGTGTGTAAGAAACATCACATATTTTACCATGGGAAATAGACAAATATTAAAAATTCAATGACACGTCCCAAAAGTCTAAAAACGAATAAACAAGTGCCACTGTTCAGCCCGTTGATGTAAGGATGCTCTGTGGTTACCTTCAAGAATACTGCACAGTGATTAGTTCTGTGCGTTTTGCATAACCAGACCATTTAGGTACTGTGCATTGTAGGAATGTCTGAACTGTGATTGCCCAGCAGGTTTTATTTGACAGAGAACCAAATGGTTTGAGGTGATCTTTCAGTAGCCGTCCTGGGCGTAAGAGACCTTACAGTTCCCAGAGCAGTAGCCACATTTGTGTGTTCATCATAAAAATGCAAGAGTGTTCCTCCCCATTCGGGTTGGAAGCGCAGTGCAAAGTAAGATGCACCTGTACATGTTCTCAGAGTTGTATTTCTGCTGCACAGGCAATGAAACAGAAATATTGTGGGAGGAAGGATTTGGCACTGTGCAGACCTGTTTTTGTTTTTGTACTGTTTTCCTCTTTAAAATGTGAGCATTTAATGAGCTGTTCTGAATCATAATGCTTTATGATGTTTCCTGTTACCTTAGTGATGGACTACAAAACTCCTCTACATGGAGAGTGTATAAACTCCACTAGATGCTTCCGTATTCAATTAGGAGCTAATGCTTAAAGTTTATAATAAATTTCCAAAATCACCTGAGTGGCTGAGGAGCCAAATTTCCAGCAACTGTTAATTGTACGCACAGGATTAAGGGAATGTTGCTGCGGCACTGTGCAGCACCAGACCAGGACGAGTTTAACCAGCCAGGATGCAGTTCTGTACTGGTTTGATCCCAGTGGTACCTAACACTCAAATAGTTTGGGCATCTCTATGCTGCTCTCTATTGAGCCATATTTGGAGATTTACCTTTTACATCAAAAACAAAGCTCAAATTTCGTTATTGAAAGAAAAGCTTCAGAGCTTACCTGGTCTGTTCTTTCGCCTCCTATATCTACCCTCTGGGGCTTGGCCTGCCTTCGGCGGGACCAGGACACCACCGCTGTGTGTTCCCTTTGCTAATGGAATTTCTGGAGACTATGGAATAAGATTAGTTTCACCAAATTTAGAGCTCTAATCTAAGCTTGTAGAGTAGATTTTACGAATTTTCTTCTCACAGGATGAAACATGCAGACTTTCAAGCTGATGAATGTTAGATTAAAAAAATATATATATGGGGGAAGTGTCAAAACCAGGCTTAGAAAAGAGATTGTTTTCCAGTCTGTTGCGGAGGTGCTCATTGACTTTCTAATATACTGACAAATATAGCAAAAAGGTGAAGACAGACTGAATTATCACAATCCTTAAAGGGACAGTTGCCCACCTCATTTTCCTTCTATCAAGAGGACAAAACCCATAAAAATATTGTGTCACAAATATCTAGCACTGATAGAACATTTTAGTTGCTTTGTTGAACATCAATACATGAGAAGTGTCTGTATGCAACTTATGTGCCCTGTGCAGGTACCTGGGAATTTTTTTCTCCTTGGGAAACGTAAACAATACAAGGGTACTCTTGGCTGTTCATTTGCATTAAAAGAGTGCTCAGTATTTGCAAGCTAAGTTTGCCAGATCAGTTTTCATGTTGAAATGTCCTGGCTTTTGAGTGCCTGATCCTGCAGCTTTGACTTCGCGTCAGCCATGAAGTGTCATAATAATAATAACGAAGCTTGTTTTTAGTTATGCATTTATCCAGATCATGCAAGGAATATATATCCCGTTTTTCAGAGAATGCTGCGTTTCAGGATTTGAGCATCCTGACTGCATCTCTTTAAACTTTTGGATGCAAATAAACTGTGAGAAAATTGTCTCTGTGAGCTTCAAACCATTCTAGGTCTACTGTGTTGCCTCCAGCCAGGTGCTGTCTGATGTTGCCTAGACAAACTAGGGCAAACCATTATCATGGGATTAAACACTAAATACCTGCAAGGAGCATTCTGTTTATCAGATAGCGCTCTGTTAGCAGAGTTCATTCACTTTATTGCATATATAACTGTGGTGTCAAGTAGACTGATTTACAACACCTGGTCTTTTACATAATCTTTGCTATTTGCTGCTCTTGTAATCTGCCAAATCATTTAGCCTTCCTGATAGTAGAAATGCTGTAAAACTTAGATAAACTTGCGGAAGAAATGAACTCCAAGGTACTGCTGAAATCTAGGGCCTGCACGTTTGCTGTAAATGCACTGGCTGGTTTGGTTTCCCCCTAACCTAATCTGTGATTGAATGTGGCTGCTGGAGAAATTGAAAATTTTATGATAGCACTACAGTCAGAGGAGATAAGCATTTGTATGCTAGACTAGATTAATCTAAAAAGGAGTTTTAGGTGTGGCTAATGAAACCAGTGTATGTGTTAACTGGTTTTCTTTGGGGTTCAAAGCATCTGTGTATATCTATATAAAGTATAGTCCAAAACTCTCTACGTGAAAAGTCTGTCTAATATAGTTGTGTGCTAGTTTTCACTAGCAATGTGGCTTTTTCTGTCTTAGGTTGGAGATATCTTTCAAAGGCCTTAGTTTTTAAAGGGTGCTTTCTGAATGCAGACAACAGAGTCCTTTACATGGTGTTGCTCGGCTACCCAAAAAACATATTTGAAATTTTTGATTAGGATAACTGTAATGCATCATATTTGAGGGAGGTTAGCCATTTGCACAGTCCAGCTGAAACAAAACTACCTCTGTTTTTGTTGTTGTTGCTGTTGTTCTGAGTCGCTCATCTTTGGCTCTGTAGGGGCTGATTTGAACAGATGAATAATACAAAGACACCTAGACAAGCTAAAAATGTGAACAAGAAATTTGCAAAATGGTTTTGGATTGGGAGAAATATAAGCTAGTACAACTGAGGGAAAATAAACCAATCTACTGGTAGCCAAATCGTGAGGAGAGCGCTGTAATGCAGTAATGGTGAGTCAGAACTGGGCTAGGGATGATGACTGCCATCAAATTGGAGGGAGCAATAAAAATGGTTGAAGGGAATGAAAAGGTTGACTTTCCAGTGCAATCACAGTGTAAGAAGACTCTAATGATTATCATTAACATCACTATTAACCCATCACTGGCGCAGTTAACTCTTCTGAGCTAGGGAAGTCTTTCAGAGTCTCTGACACAGCTATGAGTTACTATGAGTTCTCTGACCAGCTGGGATGTAACTCTCATCACTGGAGCTAATGAAAGAGCTAAAGAAGTATGTTAGCATGGCTTTGCTAGTTTAGGGAAGGAAGTTGCTTTACCTGCTGCTGCTGCTTTGCATGATGTTAGTGAACAACATAGGTGATGAGCTCAGCGGTACGCTTCCTCTGGGAAATAACATTGGCCTCAATGCAATGTTTCACCTCAATAAAATGTTGTGAATGTTCATACTTAAGAATTTTTCATTCCACTCATATTTAGGCAGCTGCTATTTAGTTAGCTACCCTAGTGGCTTAGTCTTTCTAGGCTCCCTCTGTCCCGAATGGAAGAGCAGAGGCTTTTCTACAGGGACTCGAAACAGGAGCCTGAGATGTTCCCTTACCATATGGAGGAGCTACTCCTTCTACCTACAATAGAGGGAGGCTGTGAAAACAAAACAGCTACACTGATGCCTAGGGTTGGGTGCTGTGAATAATCTTCTCTTTGCTTATGTCAATGAGTGTGTGAATTACTTTGGCATTGGGAAAATCAGACAGGTTGGTGCTAACAATGATAAGATGGAACTAAGGTGACTTTTGAGTAAAACTCTGGAGTGCTATCTCTTAGACTGGAGAACAGCCTCCCAGGGGAAGCAATGGAACTGATATTGTTTAAGACATTTAAAACTGGACAGGAGAAAATATATTGTAATGATCAATCCTGTGCTGGTATTTAGATCAAGTCTTGTCCTGTGTGAATATTAATAGGAAGTCTCTGTCTAAAGTAACTGCCATTATTCAGTGTGTGTTACTAGCTGACACTGGCTTGCAACCTTCCTCCACATCTGTACTCACACTTAAAGGACAGTTTGAGTAATGTTTAGCATCTTTACCTTCTCTCTTGGTGCCTGAAGCGTTGATTTTGTATTGCCTTACTTAGATTGTATTCCTTCAGTGCTTCTACTAGACAGATTCCATATAGTGCATAGAGATTTACAGGAAGCACGTGTAGTTTGTGGCAATAATAATAAAGGTTCCTGCTGTTTTCAGATCCCTGGGAAACTAAATCAAGCGTACAGTCTCTTCAAAAAAGTGTAGCCTGTGTATAAGTCACTTTACTGGTACCTATGTGGGTCTGTCTTGTACCTGTTCTGTATATTTGGCTGTTATATCTCTTGAGTTCTGTCCTCAATCTCCAGCGTGTCGCTAAGACCATTATACACCTCAAATGGAAAATCTGATGAAACAGCTTAAAAAAAACTGTGCACCCATGCTTTGCTCAACTCTTTTCACAACTCTGTGTTGGTGTTCTTTATCGGAGCTCACACAGCAAAATTCTGTCTGTTCCTGTGATACCCATTAGGCAGATCTAGATGTAGGCTGAATTATGACAATGGGAAGATTGGATTCAATTTCTGTGTGATGCCAAGATCCTTAATGGAATTCCATCTTCTTGATGTATTTCTCTAGGTATGAAGCCTCTCTTCTTGACCTGGTTGAAGCTATGAGTCCCATATGTGCCTCAGGACACCTCTACAGAGAATCCCATGACAGGAGCAAAATGCACACACCTCATCACGCGAGCCACAGGCCATCGGCTTGGTACCAGGCCCCTCGGAGTTCCAGAAGCAGAGCAGATGAGCTAGAAGAGAGCCGGCTTCTCGAAGAAATTTTCTTCATTTGACAAGGCTTTTTGGTCTACAGCCTTTCTGTAGAATTTTTAGAACTTTTTTATTTCTGATTTGTTTGTGTCAGAGTATCATTTTTAAATTATTTGACTGACAACTGATTGTCTTCCCTCCTCTAAAACATAACTAATTAGCATCCTGTTTCATTTCAGATTTAGCAATCATGTTGCAGGAACATTTTTGGGATAGACCAGTCAGGAAGTGTTAACATTTTTTTCTAAATCTTTCACATGCCAAGTAATCATTCTAAAATAGAATTTTTTTTTTTAATGCATAATACTTTCTAATAGATTGAAGTCACAGTTTAGCCAGCCTCATATCGCAAGTTTATTTCATTATCGATTTTTAGTTCTGAAGCAGTTTGCAAGAACTGCCTAACACTCAAGAACCACCACATTCTAAGCAGATTATTTTCTAATTAAACAACAGCCTGTTTAAAACCTGGAATATTAAGGTACGAGCACTTTACTACTTTTCCCAGTGATTCTATGATCTACTTTTGCCTCCAACATTCTGATATTTACTGTGCTGGGATTTCAGGGGGTATGTCCTAAGCTCAACTACACAGTGTCTAATAACCGTAATAGATGTTGTTGCGGCTTGATGCACTAGGTATCCATTTGAAATATATTCCTCCTTAAATCAGTGCTATTTGACATAGTTTATATGCTGGGAAATCTAACCCTGAAATAGCAGAGCACAGTCAGACGTTACAGTGGTCCAAAACTTAGTTGATGTACTTTTCAAGATGAAATATACAGTAGTTGTAGGGTAAGAACACTCTTCAGACATTTTCCCTAACTTGCACTATTTTGATCCTGTATCCAGGCTCTATTGTAAATAAGACAAATCAGTAATTATTTCTACTAGCGGCTCGCAATGCACATTTCCCTGCCGGCTTTAATTATTCATGTTGTATCTATTTCAGTTTATTTAAATGCACTTCCATCTACTGCATGTACTTGGTTATTTAAAGAAATGTGCAGAATTGGTAAAAATGACTGCAGATTACAGGATTAATGGTCATTTTCTCCACAATGCAGTGTTCATATTTTATTGTAACAGTAGCCACTGGCATGTGTTCCTAGAAATATGAGGCTAAAATACCCGTTTTGCACAGTAAAATTGCAGCGAGGGAAAGGCAGAATTGCGCCTGTATGAGCAAGTTCTAGGCCATTTGCTCCCAAACACCGCTTTGTCGGCCAGCACAGCTTTTGTGGCAGTCTCTTCAGGCAACCCTGCTTATCTTAATGGCAGTGAGTCTCTGTACTGATGCTTGGGGTATCGCTGCTGCCCGCCTCTCACTCACTTGCTCTTGTGCAGTAGCTCTCACAAAGTATTCCCATGTTTTGCAAGGAGCTAGCAAGACTTGGCCCACAATGCCTCTGTGATGGGAGCATGCACGATATAGGATATAAAGCTTAGGCCCCTAGTAGCACAGTGCTGTTATAGCAATGAAATAAAGGGAGAATGAAAGGGAAGATGAACCTTAAATTATTCTGAGGTGTTTCATTCAGATCCAGTCTTAATCACAAATTAGGTGATACCCTTTTCTTGCATCCCAGTTGAATTTTGAAAGCTGCCTGAAGAAGTCTGAAGAGGGGAACTGGCATTACTGGACCAGAAAATGACTGCTGTGGAAAGGCCTGCTTGGTCTGTCTGGCTGTCTCTAAAGTATTATAGTTCTTTCCAAGATACCCATCTGCTGCTGCATTTCCCTCTTATTCTACTGCCTGAGCCTCCTAGGGCAGAATTATCTGGTTAAAGTCCCCCAAACTGTAGGTGTCCTATTCAAGTACAGTAGTTGGAGAAATAGGTTTTCTCACTCAGCGTGTTTCTGCTGGCTGACTCTTGGGAATTGAGGTGAGCGTATCCTCCTCCTTGAGGAGGACAGGGAAAGGGAGAGGAAGGAAGAGAAAAATTTTCAAGGAGCAGCCAGAAAACCATGAAGAAATGACCAGCACATAGGTTTCAGAGGATTTTTTATTCTTTTTTTTTTTTTTTAAGGTTGATTTTTTTAAAAAAAAATAGTTCTCCAGTTTCAGTCCAATCACTTTACTTCTCTTTTCCAGTTTGACTGCAACTGTAATTGCCTTTTCTAATAAGGACTAACCGACCTTTCTGAAACAGCAAAAAAAAATATGTATAGCTCTTAAAAAGGTGCCTTTGTGTACACATTCTGGAACACTGCATGGGAGCATTACCTTCTGTGGTTCTTTGTGGGTGCCAATGTTTAACCACTTTAGGATTCTTTATGATCCATTTTATCCATTAACTATTCTAATTCCGATGGTGACTTTTGACTTGAATCTATATTTTAGTAGTAACTTTTTAAAAGGACATTGTCAAGATTGTGGGCTCTATGCTGTGGGTGCTGTCCATCAGTCAGAGCTACGTGGGAGACATACCTTTATGTTGTAGCCAAGAATTCTAGAATTAAGATGGTCGAAATATCTGATGGGTGAAGACCTTCGTGTTTTAACTACCTCTGAGATGTGAACCAAGAAACAAAAGCTATTAATTTGGTAGAGCCTGTGAAAAATCATTTTTTATAATACAGGCTCTTGCTCTGGTCATCAGCAGTACATTAGGAATAGTGTTTAGCAGTCAGTGCAAGCAAAGATATTTTGCCATAAGGCAGTAACAAAGTTGAAGTTATTAAAACATTTATAGCCTTAGAAAAAAAATCAATGATTGTCAAGTAGGAAAGGACAAAATCAGTAGTTAGAACTGGGAGGGGAATTGTTTTCCATCTACTAAAACAGTAGAGGAAATGCAAAAATTAAACTACCAAAAGCAATCACTTGACAGTGTCCTTTTAAGTTTAAGCTCCTATATTAGGAAGCTGCCGCTGGGGAGTTAGTCCAGCCGTAGATTGTTTGTCCAGAGTGTTTCCAGTTAATACGCTTCAGCTATACATCAGGCTGTGTTTTACATGAGGCTGTGTGGAGTAACATGATTCTGGCTAAGGCTGCTACCCATACCTTCACTTTGTGTTCTTCCTGTGTGCTTGTGTCCACACACTTGCCAAGTTTGTGTAGTCGTGTCTTTTGTGCACCTTGCACGCAATGGGCCTGTAACAGTCACGCTCTTTCCACTTTTAGCCTCTCCACTCCCACTGCTGAATCCCATCTTAAACCCAAACATGTATTAATATATGTGTGTGAGGTTTTAATGTAATAAATTATCTGGGGGTTTCATTTTATCTTCCAGACCTTCATTTGTTTGAAGTGTCTTGTATTTTTTTTATCCAGCTCAGATGTAGCAATTGCCATTGACAGTATGTTCCAATGTCTATGTCATCGTATCATATATATTCTCAATCTTAGTTTGCTAGTATAGATGAACCAGTTTTAAACCTTCCCTTTCTTTCCAGTATGTGGGTTTTGCTGTGAGAAAGACCAAGACCTCTTCTGGAGCCTGATGTGCAGGAGGAGGAGATCTCGGTACGAAAGGAGTTGGCTGGAGAGGAGAACGGGGGGAGCCAGCACCAGGCACTGGGGCAGAAAGACGGAATTCAAGAGTAAGGAAGAAAGGACGGAGGTGCAGGCAAGACGGGACAAGGAAGCAAGGCAGAGAACTGCCGCAAAGGATGACAGAAGTTATAGGCTGAATGCAGCTGGGCCAGCCCTAAAGGTAGAGGAGATGAGTTGTTAAAATTCAGTAAGCTGATGAGAGAGAATTTTGTGCTTATATCCTGGGGTGAGAAATCCCTTAAAGCAGTGATTCCCAAATGATGCATATGACTTCCCACCCCTTTTCGAAATCATGTTGCTGAACTTGGGGAGCTGCTGCCCAAAGGATAGCTGATAAATCAGGGAAAGAAGGAAATAACCCAACTTTAGCTCCTCCCCTCTACAGTAGCTAAAAAGGGAGGCCAGACCACAAGGAGGGTAATAGGGTCGAGACCAGACGCTAACCAATGTACGGACTACGTTTAATTGATAGCAAAGGAGGGGCTGGCGTGGACTTAGATTACGAAAGAATCTGAGACTGGATATAGCAAGTCTGAATAAAGGAGAAACAAAAATAACAAAATTTGCGGTGATCCAGTGAGCTCTGGAGACTTGGTGTTAAGGAAGGAGAGGAAAGGGCTTAGCTATGCTTGAGAGAGATTGAGCTTGAAATATCTAAAAGATATCTCTTGAAAGCACACATGAGCCCAGGGTCAAACTCTGAAAGCTACAGTAGAGCTTTTCTGAAATACGACCTCCAAATGGTGTCTGAATTTGTACCAGCTGAGGGGGAGAAGGCACAACCTACTTAGTTAAAGCCTTCTTTTTTAATGTTACTAAATTTATGAAATTGTGTGCTAATTAGTATATGATTTATAAATTTACATAACTGCATGCTACATAAGACAACACAGAATATTGAATGAGGTGATTTAAACCAGCGAAAGTACAGAAATCTGGGTGACTCCGCTCTGGAAAATGCCTCTCCCAACTCGGAGTTGCTCCCTGCATCTCTGCAAGTCTCATCTGCTCACTGTGACAATAAATCTTCTTTTATATTGTGGCTCCTCTTAGCTGTGGGAGAATGGTGATCCTTGTGCAGGGTGTTTGGAAGCAGAAGTCAGCTACGAGGAGCGAGAAACCCAACTTGGTCAGTGTTGGTACTTGACAACTCCCGCAGTTGTTTGAAGAGGATGTCACTATGTCCCAACTGCAGCAACAGAATGGCACTATGGGAGAACTGGATATGATTCCCAGCTTTGGGAAGGCTACTTCTTTAGCCTGTCTCCCTGGCTGTTAGATGCAGTAAAGACACTGCACCCTATGCAGAATGCTTTGGGTACTGCTGGTGAAGACTGCTGAGAAGTATATATACCACCACGTCTCTGAGGGGCTATGACTAGTATTACAGACTGTGGTGTAAGGCACCGGACATATCCACCAGCAATTTGTCTCGAAACTGTAAGCTGTTAGAGCAGTTTTTCTCACCTAACAGCTAGAAGCTGAGATTCTCTCATATTTGAGGGCTGGAAAAGGCCATTTCAGTCCTTGGGAAACTAAACTATTTTGTGCCTCTGGTAGAGGAGAAACTGAGATGTCACTGACAGATGAGGCCCTGACATATGTTAGGTGAGAGATGCCCAGATGGTCTCATTAGACAAACCATTCCACAGGCTGCAAAGAGCAGTAAATTCCTTGTTTCCTTAATTCAGGAGTTATTTTGAATATGTGAACAAACCACTTCATTCAGACCTCAAAAAGGGTTCAATAACCAGCCTTAGAGCACAAGTTAATTCTTCCTGCTGTCCTATTTGCAAAGAGGAGGAAAGTGAAGCATTAGAAAAAATTATCCTTCCTAATTGCTTACTGGCAACTGCCTTAAAACCTTGACGTGTGGATTTGATTGGAACCACTTTCTCAACACAGACTGGCAAGTGTCACGATCATAGAGGACAAGATAGGAACTCCTCTCCTGCTCTAGACCTGGTGAGGAATGAAATCCCTGGAGATGGATTCACAAACACAAAATTACCTCTTTCTCAAGCTAGAGAGGTCTACCAGACGGTGCATTCAGGATTTTTTTACAAGAAACTGCTAATCTAATTTTGAAAGCCCCTTGTCAACATCTTTCAGTGTTTAGTTATCCTTGCTGCTAGGAACTTGCCTTACTTTGGGGCTGAATTTTTTCTAACTTTAATTTCCAACTATTGGACCTTGTTGTGCCTTGGGGAGCAAGAATGCAAAGTTCCCCCGTTATCAGACGGTAAGTACCCTATATGCAGTGATAAACTCCTTGTTCAGCCTTCTCTTTGATAAGATGATGTTCTTTAAGCCTTGTCATAAGGTCTGTTTTCTAGCCCCTTGATCATTGTTAGGCCTTTTTTGAACTTTTGCCAACATGTATGCATCTTGAAGGGTTGACACTAGAACAGAATTCAGAATTCCAGTTACCACTGCTGTGAACAGTGACAACGTGACCTCATGCTGCATGGTATTTCCCATCTGAAACTTTCAGAAACCTTTTTGGGAGGTTTCACGATGGGTACCTGGTCTCAGGCCACTTAAGATCATAGCTTCGTTTCTTGGAAGTGGAAACTCTGTGAGTGAAACCAGCAGATTCTGCTACCTTTAGAAGAGTTGAGAAGGATGAAATAATGGCAAGTAGAAACACCAAGGAGAAAAAAATCGTGGAATTCAAGTTGGGTTGGGGTGTGAACTTGGGGGTGTAGAATCTGTGAACGCATCTGCACCTGGAAAACAATCTGAAAGACACATGGTTAATTGGAAGGGGGAAACCCAGACAGCAGAAACCCTCAGCAGGGGAAGAGCAGACAAAGCATAAGGTGATGGTATCTGATAGCAATAAAAACAGACCAGAAGACTTTTGAGCTGCAGGTGAGGAGGCAGTGACATCTCCAAATTACACAGGAAATGGCTTCTTGTCAGTGAATCTGGTGCTCCTGTATTTGCACTAGAGCCTTCAGCATAGGGATCTCATTACCAGAGAGTTTACTGGCAGATTGGAGGGATTTCAGTGAGGAGCAATAAAAATGATCAGAGACTGTTAGAATTGACATAATGAGGAAACAAGATGAGAAGAGTCAGATATTTATAGCTTGGGTGAGAGAGACAATTAAAAGGTGGGGTGGGAGATGGACTAGGTGACCTGAAAGCCGTGTCTGTATCTAATAGGTTGCCTGTTGCATAGAGGACTTGAATTTACCAAGGCTGTCAATCTGACTCTTAACAGCCCTGACTTCCTATGTTGAAAAGCTCAGGTGGGTGTACCCTGGCTGTACTGACACTGTCAGAGTGTCACTGGTATTATAGTTTATTTATTTATTTTTTTTTAAAAAAAGTCATCAGCTACATTATGGAAAAAATTGACACTTTGACAGTAAAGAAAAAAAATGTCATAAAATAAAAAGCCCTTGAAGTCCTTGCTGAGAGCAGAGCTGGTTGGGAAGAGCTCCCAGGTAGTTCAGCTAGTGATGGTGAGCCTTTCTGCTGTCTGCACGGTGCTCTGCTGAGTAGGAAGGTGCGTGCAGAGGTAGGAAGTGTGAACCTTTTTCCGTGTTAGGTAGGTACTGGTGATACCGAGCCGTGCACTCAGCTGAGCGAAACGCTGCTTTCCAGTGCGCACGGGTATGTGCAGGGTGTTGTACCCTGAGAACTGCCCAGCTCTACAGACTGTTCTTGGGCCAAGCTCTGTATCAGCCAAAACCCTACCGGTTCCACTGCTGACAGTGGCCAAGCACAAGGTTTCACTTCCCGCTGACCCTATGCCAGAGGTATCTGTTCTTAGGGGGACTGGCTGGCTTTCACCTTTACATGGCATGAGTCACCAGTCTCACATATGGGGATTCTGGTACCTGGATGGGGTATAGGTTCATGCTGGCTGGGGCCTTTCCCCCTATGTTTTTATGCAAATCCACTAAATATGTGTTTTTACACCATACCCTACTAAATATAGGCATTGACTGTGTTCTGCTTTTCTTGACTCCTGAGACCCTGAGAAAAATGAAGGTGGCATACTGGCCCTACTGAATCATTATAGAATAGGCTGATGGCTGAGATTATTTGAGAGCTTGACTAAAAACACGTCCATATTACATATTCCCAGATGCTGTGGAGAGAGAGCCAGAGATTTGCTCTGGACTTGAGTACAGCAGCAGAGTTGGAGGCAGCCAAGGTGGAGACATCTTGGTTCCTGGGTATGCAGTCAAATTAAAACACCACTACTGAAAGCAGCAGGGCTGTATGTGTTAGAGGCACTTTGGGGAAATATCAGAGCAGCGTTTGTTGAGTCTGATGGCGGAGTAGCCACTCAGTTTTAATGATACCTGTGTGCAAAGGCCACGGTTGCTTTCATCCATTTCACATTAGTCTGACTTTCACAGAACAGACATAGCCTAGGGTGGTGGAAGGGAGAGAAAGGTGACCAAAAAAAAAAAAAAAGTCATCCATTTTTTACTACTTTTTCCATGCCATACCAGGCTCTAGCTGAGCAAAAGCAATCTTATCCAGCATACTGTTGATTTAAGTGTCTTGGATTTATATAACTTTGGAAATGGTAAACTATATTAATTTGCTGTGTTTTCAAGGGAAAGTTATTTATTGAGAGACATTTTTAACTCAAGTGCCAGGAGCTTTAAATCATTATAATAAATTCATGCTATTCAGGGTTTCTTACATTGTAATAAATTTGTTTTAAACATGAATGAGGAGATCCATGATTTCTTTAATATACTGTTATGTATTTCCTTTCAAAATGACACAGCTCACTATATCAAGTGGGAGAATAATAGTGAGAGATTTACAGTACTTAAGAATAACATAGCCTGGGAATGTGACATGTTAACCAACACTGTACAGGGGGCTGGCAAGTGAGGGGAGCCCACCATTCCCAGTGACACAGGAGAGTGTTAAAAGAGCGAAAACAGGTTGGGAGAAGAGTAGGAAACTAATACCTCGGTGGAAAACTCCCTACAGCGTGGGAATCACAACGTAGCCTTATAATGACATCTATTCAGCTATGAAACGTATGATAGAGACACCCTAATGGTGACGCAGACTTTTGCTGTGGTCTTTCAGTGACTGGGACTGCAGCCGCCGAACTGCCAGCTCCCCAGGGTGTGACCTGACCTAGGGCTTGGAGGTTTGTTTCCCAGCTCTGAATCATGTCCCCCTTTCGTGCCTTCGGGCACCCATCTCAGCCTTTTTGTGGGACCTTGTCCATGCTAGCTATGATGGTGCACTGGGATCGGATCCCTCAGTGGCCATGAAAGCCTCTGAAAGTGTGGTGAGGAGGAGCCAGGTAAGCATGCAGATAAATTTCAGGCCCAGTTTTTAGTCCCTGATCCCTCATTAAACCTGTGCTAACCCTGCTGCTCACTGTTACACATGTGGACTGTTGTGAAGGACTCAAGGCAATAAAACACCTGGCTGACTTTAAATCACTTCCTCCCTGGCTTTATATGGGGTCTTTATCGGTGGGTGGCAGAGGAGCTGTGCACGGAGCCAGCTGCTGTGACGTGAGTGCGCGAGGTCTGAGACAAACCCCCTTCAGCAGCATAGTTGTGGCTTTCTTGGAAAGCAGAGCCCTTCTGCACCATGTAAACATCTGCCGAGAGCGCTTTTGTCTCAGCCCACTCCCTCTTTTAATTAAGCACTTCGGGAATGTGGTCTGATGTTTGCAGTGCGGTGATCTGGGTGTTGGGTTTGAAGGGGGTGAATCGTCGTGGTGCCCTTGGGAACCCATCACCTGCTGGATCTCTAAGCCAGAGCGTCTTGTTACATTCTGGTTTGATTTTGTTTTCTGTAAGAGAAATTGGGAGTGACCCTGTTTCCTGGGGCTGCCCAGGCCTGCAGCATTGCCATCCTCAGTGCTGCTGTGCGAGCCGGTGGCCAGGGCCCTCCGGTGGCTTGCATAGGGGGTACAGCGCTCGGTGGAGACAAGGTTTGTGGGGCTGAAGGAAGTGTGCTAGAAAGGATGACTAGGTGAGCTCTTTGCACCCACGAGTTCGCACTCTGCGCTGCACTGAGCACATCTGCCTGTCCCTCTGATACTGACCCAGCTCTTCAGGTGTGGCCTCTACCTGAATCAACTTAGACCTAAATGCACCTGGGAGACTTGAAATCTGTGAGGAGGGAGCGCTGTCAACCTGTGGGATTGGATGCTGCTGTTCCTTGGCAGCAGGAACCTCTCCATAGAGGTTGACATTTTTTTAGAAGAAAGGTATGTTTCTTACCTGAGGAAGGGGGAAGGGGTGCAGGGGGAAAGGTAGACTGACGCAAAACTGAAAATGCCGAATGGTTCCATAGCTTCTAATGAGAGAATTCCCCCAAGATACCTTAAAGCTCTCCAACTTCTCTAATGCCCAGCCTTGCTGCTCAAAATGCAGCTCCCAGTGCAGGGAGAGGACGAAGAGT